TCCCTCAGGATTCCCCAACTCTGGCTAGTAAAATCTGTATCTTATAAAGCCCTAATCTGGTTGTGAAAGCAGAAGACTGGATCTGAGTTGTGTAACTTGGTGCAGTGTGTGTGGAGAAAGCAAGTTGCATCAAAACCATTCGCTCAGATGGATTTGCATCATATCTTTTATGGTCTCTAGGTCAAAAGTAGCTGCTGTTTCAGGGTTGGGGGTTTTTTTTCCCTCATTCATGTTTTACGCAGAAATTTTGTGTATATATTTAATTTATATTTTATTCTTTTCCAGAACATAGCTTATAAATGAGATTATTAGTAGAACAGGAACATTTAATAGCTGCTTTACGTGTAGTTGACTCTGCAGCCTGGAGAAAACACAAACATCTTCCCGTGTTTTCTACTTCAGTAACAAGGGTAGAGTCGTTGGAGCTGAGGGCCACAGTTTCTGTTTCTGTTCCTGACAGTGATGGTTCCTGTGCTTGCTGGCTAAAGGCTTATTACAAAATGACATTTAGCAGCCTTGCTGGAAGGTGTGGAAAAAATGTAGCTCAAGTGTTTTGCATTAGGATGACAGGACACGAAGTTACAGTGAGGGTGAAAATGTCTCTGTGTGATTGTCTGAAGTATTGTAAGCACTATAAATCTTGTTTTACATCTATTTCTATCTCATCTTTATCAGGAAAATGTAAGTTTTCCTTTTGGATGCCTAAGGGGTGTGTATGTAGACTGTGTACATGTGATTTAAATGGCCTTGTTGAGCATGATTCATTGTTTGTCATGTCATTTGTCAGAAAAAAATGTTTTTTAGAATCATAGACCCATGTAATCCTGTCCTGTGTGTTGGAAAATGAAACTAGATGGCTGTGATCTTAGGAGAGTGCTCTGCTCAGCTTTATATTCAAAGGCAGTTTCTAACTGTGGCAGAGCAGCCAACTTTCTAGGGCACTTTAGGATGTCCACTTGATAGGATAGTCCACTTCCTAAAAATAGGTCTATTGTAACTGTGGAGTGAGAGATTGGATACCCAATGCTTTTAGAACAGGGAGCTGGCTTTTTGGTTGTTCTTTGTAATCTCTAGAGAGCCTGTACTCCGTACAGCAAGGGTACAAACCGAGTTTTCACTTCCTAATCATGGTTTTGGGATTGTGGGGGTGGGCTTCATTGGTTGGGGTTTTTTCTCTTCACATAGCTGAACTCCAAACCAGAACCCAGTGTGACCAGCACAATGCAGGGCAATTGGCTGACCCTTTTTGCAGCTGTGTGGTAGAGGTTGAGGGCTCATCAAACCTCTGATGGTTTTCTTAAGGAGGAATCAAAAGGGAAATGAATTAAGATTACAAGAATCATCTCAATGTAGAGGGTTGGAAGGGACCTTAAAGCTGACTGACTTCCAACCCCCTGACACAAGCAGGGGCAAGATCTGCCTTGAAGGCAGGGAAGGGACCTGCCTTCACATAAGAAGTCTTATTTTTTGTTTTGCAGCAATTTTAGTTCTAGATTTATTCCCCCCCCCCGATAACCCAATTTTATTTTGTTTTTAATCCTGAAGAGTCACATTTATATGATGAACGTGCATCTGTGTGATTAGACCCAAGGCATCCTCCAGGATCTATGAAGTTCTGCCTCTATTCTTCTACTTAGTAATGGCAGTATCTCATCCTCAGTGAGGGGATATTCTGAAGATATTGCAGATCCCTTCTGTTAGATTTTGCCCATTTAATCTTGAGGAAAAGGTGATTATCCCCCTTTCTAGAAGTAATTATTTTCTGTCACTGCCTTAATGCACGGTTGGATTAAGACAATTCACTGGGTTAGACTCTGCCTCCGCCCTGCATAAAGAAGCTGTAAACATGGGAGCAATTTGGCATCTCACGCATGGTGACGTCTTTGTGTTCAGCACATTTCTGTGTACTTGTCTTCTTCAGTTTGTTAATTAAAGAGCATTTTGTAGCATAGAACTGCTGGTAGCAAATAGCAGGAAAGGTAACCAGCCAAACACTTTCTCTTTGGTTATATATAGCAACAGTGGCAGATTAATTGGATCTCTTCACAGTGTTTCTTTGTTGTTAAAATGTATTTTTCAGGCTTCTGCAGTTTCTTCTTCTTAATCATACATGAAGAAAAGAAACCACTATTCTTTGTTGCTTTATCCCTAGTATTATGAGAGTGGAGAAGTCCAGGCAAGTGTGTATGAGTGAAGGATAATGAAATGGAAGTTATTAAAGGTTCAAGTTATTAAAGGTTCAGAATCCTCTGTTCCACAGTGAAAGGAGCCCTTGGTGTTGCTGTGTAACTGGTGTTTTCCTTCCCAGATGTGTGCTGGCATGAAAAATGCAAAAACACTTGCAGGCAAACTCCTTTCAAGTTTGTCACTGCATCAGACACCATCTTTTATTAAACTGTAAGTGAAGACTGAGTGAAATGACTGTGTGGCTGGTCATCTCTTATGGGCATACAGAATGCCTCTGAGTTGCCTGGTTTTTCAAGGCATGTACTTTTCCTTTGAGAGTCTGGGAATAGCTCTCATGTCTGCTTATGAAATTCTTGTGTTGTCCTGGTTATTACCCCATGTAGCTTGGAAAAGCTTCCACACTTTGGCACTGGGTTCTTCACATGCAGCCTATGAGCAAGGGATGCTTTTAGAAGGTAAAATACTGCAATTAAAAGAAGTGTGATTAAGTTATATCTTTTGTTAACCATCACAAAATCAAATGTCACCCATGCTTTTGCCCTGAGGATTCTTTTTGCATGTCCATTTTATGCATGTGGAAAGTGTAGGTGTTGAGCTGCTGGTGTAAATCCATCGGTAGGTAATCCATCTACGTATGCCACAGGATCATTTCTGTTCCTTTGGCAGAGGAGTAGGTTTCTTTATTTCCTTCCTTCTGTGTTTTAAATAAGTAAAACATGTTGAAATGAGCATTAGTGAAAATACTGCCCATCAAATGGAAAAATCCCCCCTTGAAATCAATGGGGAAAGGGAAGTGGAAAGAGGTGCTCTGAAAAGTGGTGATTTGGGGTTTGCCAGAGCCCTGCAGGTCTGCCATGGTGTCTTCAGAGGGAGCTGCGGGAGGAAGGTTGGAAAAAGTCTTGCAAGGAAAGAGCAAAGGGTCTTGGTATGTGTGTTTTTAAGGAAACCACCTCCTCTTGGTCAGATCTAGCTGTGGGTGATCCTGGAACTTCAGAGATGATTTGGCTTTAAATTGAGGAACAGGGAAGTAGAAGAAAGTACTGAAGCAGTACTGAAATGCCATGTATCTTGTGTCATTGTGTGAAGTGTGTTCCATGTAAGTGTATTGTATTAAGTGATCTGAGTTTTAGTTCTCAAGTAGTCAGTTCTCCCACTGGCAGTGCTGTGAGGAACAGAACCTTACAGATGAGCATGAAGGGTTTGAAAATAAACCAGATATAATATTAAACTAAGCTGGGCAGTGTCACTGGAGTCAATTTCAGAAACTAAATTCAGGACTCAACACAGTTTGTTTCCACTGTTAGGTCAGTATCTGCTTCTCTAAAATCACCTCGCCTCTATTATTCTCCCCTCTGCTCTGCTGTGCTCTGGGGAGACCCTCCCCGAGTCCTGCACCCAGCTCTGGGGCAACAGCACCAGAGGAGGCCCCGGAGCTGCTGCGAGGGCTGGAGCAGCTCTGCTCTGGAGCCAGGCTGAGAGAGCTGGGCTGGGGCAGCTGGAGAAGAGAAGGCTCCTCAAGGGGACACCTTAGAGCAGCTCCAGGGCCTAAAGGGGCTCCAGGAGACCTGGAAAGGGGCTTTGGACAAGGGATGTAGGGACAGGACAAGGGGAATGGCTTTAACCTGCCAGAGGGGAGACTGAGATGAGCTCTGAGGCAGAAGCTCTTCCCTGTGAGGGTGCTGAGGTGCTGGCACAGGGTGCCCAGAGAAGCTGTGGCTGCCCCATCCCTGGCAGTGTTCAAGGCCAGGTTGGACACAGGGGCTTGGAGCAACCTGCTCTAGTGGAAGGTGTCCCTGCCCATGGCAGGGGTTGGAACTGGATTGGCTTTAAGCTCCCTTCCAACACAAACCAGTCTGGGATTCTATGATTTCCGAGGACTCCTTCAGAGCTGCGTGCTGCCCTGCATACCGCAGCAGCAGTGTGAGATCTGGCATTCTTCATGATACCAGAGCGAGCCTTGATGCACCACTGGTATGTGTTTGGCTACAAATCAATCCAACCTGTACTAAATCTTAAACAAAGACAGTGAGCAGGCTTCTCTAAAAGTTGCTTTATAGGGGTTTGTGTCTTACGTGCTTTGTCCAACTGCTACTTGCAGGGTAGCATATTAGTAAAGTTTCTTATGAATCCTTAAGAGTAGTTGGAACACTAATAAAAAGGGAAGTGTGCTTCCTTGTTGAGTAGTGATTTACAGTGTGTGACATGTGAAATGCTGCACTAGAACGTTATATAGATTTGGTGGTGCAGAATATATTTTAAGACTTTTAAATGTATTTCTTTTTTCAACCTGAAACCAGCAAGCACTTCTTCCAGAGTTAGTCCTAATGGATCCATACCCTCTTAAGATAGTAAATATAAGGGACAGCAGTGGGAGGCACCACGAGCAAAGCTCAGTGTCTAAATCAGTTGTTCACCCTTACTTGAAGCTTGTGAGAGCTGTTGTGTAGCTGGTTTTTATTAAGAGAAATAAATACACTGGGATATGGAAATACTGAACTTAATGGCTGGTACACCTTGAGCTGAGGTGAAAGAAAGTGATCTTTGGTTTTGTGGTATCTGGTGTGAGCATGAAGTTATGGTATGTGTCGAATCTTAGGAGATTGTAAACTTTATTGGTCATTCCTTTTCTTCCTGTGGTTAGTTTGAGTTGTTCATCTCCCTTTGTGTAAGTTTTCAGGTTCTTATTTGTTGGACTGTGAAGCAAGTTTTAGTTTTGCTTCATTAAACACCAAGTCAGATGGAGTTTGGCTCAGGTCTGGGATATAATGGAAATGTTTGAATATATTGCTGACTCACTGTGTGTTTGGTTGCAGGTACATCCGACTATATGGGAGAAAGTTTAGCAGAGAAGACCATGTGCTTTTTATCAAACTGCTGTACGAGTTGGTAACCATCCCAAGGCTGGAGATCAGCATGATGCAGGGATTTGCACGCCTCTTGGTAAACCTGCTCAAGTAAGTCCAGATTTCTGCTGACTATGGAAAGTAGTTGATTACTTGACTTGCTCAATATACTGTAATCATAGAATCCTAGAATGGTTTGGATTGGAAGGGACATTAAAGCTCATCCAGAAGGGACACCTTCCACTAGACCAGGTTGCTCCAAGCCCCATCCAACCTGCCCTTAATGTAATAGTATGTTCTGTTACATGTTACTTCACTTGGTCATCCCGTGTGCAGATGGTGTTGGTTAAAAGGAGTTCTCATTATGCAAACACCTTCCCCTCTTCAAAGCATTAGGAGTGGAACTGAAAGAATGTCAGTTTTTTCCCTTATTAGAGACCCAAGTGTTCAGGTTGAATCTCAAGTAGGGAGAACACAAAGACGTGTCTTTCAACGTGGTAATGCTTGTTTCACTTAGAGTTTTCCTAGAGGTCTTGACAGCTTCTGTGGTTGCAGAAACACTGCAAGTGGCCAGCTGCTTTCTGGCCTGACCTTGCTGCAGCTTGAGCCAAGTGCTGAAGATAAGCATGGTTCAGAGCAGTGATCCTGATACACAGTGTGTCCATGTAAATGTTTAATCCTGAAGTGCTCGTTGTTGTTTTGTTTTCTATTAGGAAAAAAGAGCTGCTTTCCAGGGATGATTTGGAATTACCATGGAGACCACTTTATGAAATGTTAGAAAGGATATTATACTCCAAAACAGAAAACCTTGGATTGAATTGGTTTCCCAAGTAAGTTTGCATTTCAAAACGTTTGATAAGCTGTAAGTACCTGTAATGTTTTCAAGTACTTTGTAATTTGCTTTTAATAGTTGGAATTTGATACACAGTAAATATCTCGATTCTATTTTCATGAAGTATATTTCAGTAATAGTGTGCAAGACAGAACCAAATCGTGTCTATCCTTCTACCAGTGAACTGTTTGTGATGATGTTTCTCTCTTCATGAATGTGATTGCATTCATTTCTAAATATGGGGTCTTCATCAACATATTTTAGGATGATATCCCACGGTTTAACAGATTTAATGTTGATTTTCCTAACATCATTGTGATTTTAACCCCAGTTGCAACTGAGCCCCACACAGCTGCTCACTCACTGCCACCTGGTGAGATGGGGGGTAAAAGTGAGAAAACTCCAGGGCTGAGATAAAGACAGTTGAAGAGGTAGAGCAAAAGCCACACACATAAGCAAAGCCAAACAAGGAATCCATCATTCACCACTTCCCGTGGTCAGGCAGGTATTCAGCCATCCCTAGGAAAGCATCATGGTGACTTGGGAAGACAAATGCCATCACTCGGAATGTTCCTCCACTTCCTTCTTCATCCCCCATCTTTATATTCTGAGCATAACATCCTATGGTCTGGAACATCCCTTGGGTCAGGTGGGATCAGCTGGTCTGGCTGTGTCCCCTCTAAACTCCTTGTGCACCCCCAGCTCCTCACTGGTGGGGTTAGGAGCAGAAAAGGCCTTATCTCTGTGTAAGCTCTGCTCAGTGATAACGAAAGCATCCCTGGGTTATCAACACTGCTTTCAGCAG